AGTGTAGGGAGTCATTTTTGGATTGGCCCTGTAGCTAGCGAGGACCGGTTTTGACGTGCTAGCATATACATCCCCTCTCCTGAGATCCTGCACATGTAACCGTATACGCTTAAGCAAGATAACAGACACGCAAGATTAAACAGGAATTCAGTTGCGAGTCTTTTTCTGTCTACGCTCGTGACTATATATTCGTAGTTGATTGTCTCGCTGGTGAAATATGGCACCTGTAGGTGTATGTGTCTTTGTGAAGGCTTAAATTGTCTTAAAAATGGAGTGGTTCTGGTTGGCTGCGGTTCACAGCGCTGAAACCCTCCATCTTTCATTCCCTGTTTTAATATGATTAGGACTGTGGTCTGCGAGTGTGAAATCCGAAGGTGACAGAGAAGGAGTGAGAAGGCGACAGAGAGAGACGACAGTCTTAATTAGGTTTTCCCGGGTTTGATGACGTTCCAAGGCTGTGGCCTAGTGAAGGCTTGGCGACTGATCGTGTCTGTGTGTTTTATGTGTGCGTGCGTGTGTGTGTGTCTGGCCCGTGATCATGCAGAACTGTCATCAGCTGCGTAAACTGTCCATCAGCCCTTGTGGCATGGCGAGCAGACAGAAAATACAGACACAGAGTTGTGTGGGACTTTCCACAACACACACACACAAACACACACTCCCTTACCCACATACATTCAGACGTACAGATACAGATACGCACGTACCCTAATGACAAAATGAATAAGGCCACATTCATATGTGTAGGCTAATTTAATTTAGACACACATCCTCATACTTATCCTGGTTGAGAAATCCCCGTCTTTCTCTTTGCATTTTTCATTGTGCCTTTTTCTTTTCATAGTGCTTACATATTAATGAGCGGTTGACCCTTATACACACTTACAGACACTTGGCAATGCGTTTGAATGTGTTTCCAGGTTTAAACTGGCAAGAACCAACATCTAATCTGTGCTCTTGCATTCTGCACACAAATCATTATCTTCAAGACGTGGTTATTCGTTAAAAACAGCTAGACCAAGCGTCTCCAACTCATGGTGTGCACTATACTAAAGCCAGGTGGTGTTTTCTGTCGTTGAGTAATTGAACAGTTTAAACAGAAAGTAGTTAAATTATGTATTTATTTAGTTATATTTCCTCCAGAACTGCTGCTTGTGTAGTTATTTATTTATTTAATGAGCACTAATTCATCCAGAACTGGCATTTATTTACACATTTTTAGATCAATGGGAGGTGATAGTCCTATCAGAAAAGTTATTATGTTTTAGGCCTGTAATAAGCCATTTGGAAAAGTATGTAGCTTATATTAGACTATATGGTATAACATTACAGGCCAAACTTAAGTGAAAATTGATTTACAGGCAGGGTTTAAGGATAAACTATTAACATCTGAGAAGTTGTATGATACTGTTTGGCCTGCGGTACAGTAGTTGGAGACCCCTAATCTAGACAGGCACCACAGACTTGGACAAAAGGACAAATCTTTAAAATGGGCTTTATAATGAAAAGAGTTGTTTAGAAAAGCTTTAACTCTATAGCATTAGGCATATGCATCAGTGGCGGCTCGTCGGGGGAGGCACAGCTTCCCCATAATTTTGAGGTGAATATGGGAGGAGGACGATTTAATGTTAATAAAATTCACAATTCATTTCAGTTCATGTCTCAGAATGTGTATATTTTGTTTGTAATTTCACAGTTTCTCACACCAGTGGCGGCTCGTCGGGGGAGGCAGGGGAGGCACAGCTTCCCCAAAATTTTGAGGTGAAAATGGGAAGAGGACGATTTAATGTTAATAAAATTCACAATTCATTTCAGTTCATGTCTCAGAATGTGTATATTTTGTTTGTAATTTCACAGTTGTAATACCATAACGTGAAAGCACCGCTTTTCTATCGCGAATGTGCCAAATCTGTTGATGTAATTACAACCGCTAGGTGATATAGAAGGGGAGGGGGAGGGCTGAGCTCTCGTGCCTCCGTTGGTAAAAAAAATGAGCCAACCACCATCGAGTGTTCACTTTCAGCGCTGAGGAGTGTTGAGAAAAGAAACCTCGTA